CCCCCCCCCCCCGTCAATGTAATTTTTAGCCTGAGAGGGCCTTTTTCAGAGTTGCTGTCCTTCGTCTTGAAAACACTCTCATTACAATCGTTCCTGTTTTTCTTTGCACTGATGTAAGTTGGTCACGTCTGCTTTATGGCTCTGTAATCAGGTGCTCTACGCTAAAATCACCTAAAACGTACTTCGAGACAGGCCTGTGAGAGAGAGGCATGTGAAATGACTTCAGAACAGAAAACGTTGTTTGTTGCTGCTTATGCTTTGGACTTCTTGTTTAACGCATCCTCCAGCAGGTAGTTGCTCCCCCAGCTTTTGCTTAAGGTCTTTGTTCCTGCTGTAGTGAAAGATACTGACCTATTCATCTTCTGTGAACCCTGGACCAGTGTCTGGAACAACATGACCATGTGCAGTGCTGCTTGGGTCTCCTCCCATTTTGCACTGCTACAAACTGCTATGTTGGGTGATGGGCTATGCCATGTGTGCATAGACCATATGGTATTTTCTCCTCAATCTACAGTTGGCTTGTTCATCATACATTGTAATATTTTGCTATATGCCTGTAAGTTCAATTTGTCTTTTGGAAGCTGTTTTTATTTGCTAGAATTAGAGGAATGTACTTACATAGAAAATTAATTTTGCAATAAATAGTTATTGGTAGTAAAAGATATGACATAATGCTATAGATTCAACTGAAGCTAGCCCTTAAAAGGAAAATGTTAAAACAAAGTCTAAATCCTTATTCCTAAGGAATTAAGCAATGTAACTTGTGGCTTATTTTCATTAACATCAATATGGGAAATGAAGCTTGGAAAACTTGCCTCCCGAAGAGTTATGTTTTCATGAGCACTGACTTTTGCCCTTTAACAGAGAGAAGCGCATTAAATGCGTGCTAATTATGAGTTTTGCAGCAACTTGGCTGCTAACTTGAGGTCTGCGTCTGTATTCGCATTCTTCATTCTTTGAATTTATCTTGGTATAATATTTTTAAATATTTTAAACAGCAGATGTGCAGTGCTTATAGATTTGTGTAAATGTTGATGCACTGTATACAAAATTTGTCTCCCATACAATGATCTGTTGACATTATTCTCTGTTGCTTAGCTTCAGACAGTAAAGTCATGACATGTGCTGCTGTTTGGAGGATGCCGAAGGAATTGGAATCAGGCAGTCATGAATCCCCTGATGATTCATCAAGCAACACTCAAACCCTGGAGCTACTCTGTCACCTTGACAACACAGCCCATGGCAATATGGCCTGGTAGGATTCTGCATATTTTATACTCCTAGAAAAAAACCTAAAGGATAGACCTGTGCTGTTAGTCTTGTGCAGATTTGTATTGTAGAAGCTATGCTATACACTTTAAAACTATTAAATTAAAAAAAAAGAAGGTACAAATTGGATTTTTAGTCCCAGATGTTTCATAGATTAAAAACATACATTATAGTCCTGCAAACACATATGGAGTAACAGCCTGTGTACTGTTTTAATGTGTTTCTCCCCACCTGCCCCCATCTAAAACCTTTGTTGCACAAAGGTATAATACTTAGCATTGCAATCTTTTTATGGAATATAAATTTGATGTTGCACTTCAGTCTTTGTTTTTCAGTCTTTACTCAACTGATTTAGCATAAGTGCAAGTAATTTATTGTTGTTTAGGATAAGAATTCATTATATTATATGGTTCAGTTTAACTACCCTTTTCTGTTGCCGAAAATAAAAGACAAAGAGAGTTGCAGTACTGCAGAGGGTATTACAGAGGTTTGTTTCCATTTCCTTTCTATTATGTAAAAGAAAGTTAAATTTGTCTGCTGTGTATTTGTAAGTTTTTTGCTTTATGGGTAAGTATATGATGTTCCGGAAGCAGTGGGGACGCAAGATACAGGGCAAAGAAATGTTAATATACTCAGTCCATATTTTACCAACTACAGTGTTGTTTCACATCATTTGAGACCACCTGACCATTTTCCCCTGGCAGGAAAAGTTGAAACCATAAGAATATGGTCTGCTGTAGTCCCAGAATTGTTTGTCAGAAAGAATATAGAGTAGGAGCTGATCATGCAGGTTTTATAGTACCTTTCACAATTATCAGAGAATTTTAAGAAAAATATGTGGAATTACAGAGCAAATCTTTTTTGTAAACGAGTGACAACTCTGAACTGAAGCTGAACAAGGATAATGCAATGTCAGTGTTGTATATTGCTGTGAATATCTTACATGAGAGTGGAAAGGGCCTCTTTGGTTTCTGTATTCAGTTACCTGCTGTGTAAGATATCCATCATAATCTCATTATACTTAAATATATTCTAGTCGGAGTAATTTTAAATTATATCAAAAGGGAATAATACTTAAAATGAGTCTCAGTTCCTTTTCAAAATTTGGCTACATAAAAATTTCTTTTAATTAGCTCGCTAGTAAAAAAAGATAGACTTTAGAAGTGATAGTTAATTCAGTTGTTTATTATGTCATACACTGTACCATAAGATTTAAGCCTATTTTTAGCCACTAATTTCTAGGTTGAGACTTTTAGATTAAATTTCAACTAAAAAAAAGGTAAATAGAAGGTAATATTTATTAGGTGATTCCTGGACAAGATTAGATATATCACTATATTCAAAAGTTTGTTGTTTAGGCTACTTTTTTCTAAAATCTTGGCTTCCTGAATGTTAAATTTCTTCATAGTAGTCTTTTAATTTTTGTTTGTTAGTTTGTTTTAATTGTCACCTTTTACCCCTTAAGATATGTATTTACTGTCTTTTAATTTTCCATACTCTGTTTCTATCTGATGCTGGGATTCCACAGCTCTGTGTGGTAGCCTGATCACCAGAGGAGGAATAGGGGGCATATCACTGCTTTATATCATTTATGTGAATGCCAAAAATCTTTTTTTTTTCTCTAATATAGCTTGTAGTAAGTGTAATTTTCTGTCTCCTGTCATCTGACTTTGTTCACTACTAGTGATCACAAATATCTGCTACCATTTAATACCATTTTCTATGTATGTTGTATAAATACACACAAAGATTTGAAATTGTCCTGTGTTAGAGAGATAAAAGGTATAAATGGAATACTTGGCATTAATACCTCTCACATCATCTCAGGCAAGCACAACTGAGGTAGAGGATTCTACCTGTTCTAGAGTAGGCTTTTCTATTCTTGCCTCAATCATAGTGGAAACAGCTCATATAAATGAGTAAAATCAATGTCTTGTGCCAAATGTGTGTCACTTAACAGGTCATGTCCCACTGAGTAGTGTGGTGACTATGAATAGCAACTTAAATGTTCTTTTCTATTACACATTTCAGATGAAACTAATTTAGACACTTATGGTACAGTTGTTAGAATCAACCATAAATGAAAAGCAATTTCCCTGAATCCAAAGTGTAAATACTTTTCAAACCTCGATGTGAGACCAACATTCTGGTGTACACAGCTGCTTTGTATGAGATCAGCAGTGGTCTGGCATCCAGCACTCACAGTAAGAACGCTTATTCTGGCTCTGTCACTTGCCTTGCCTTTAGAGCATACTCTTACACATTTTACTCACAAAACACAGGCTGAATCCAGGGGTTCAGTGTGACTATATGCACTTTAAGGACATGGTTTAATCCACAGAGCTCAGTAGAGCAGTGTACCACAACCACTACCCTCATTAAGGGTGGAAAAAGTTTTGAAGTCTTGTTAGCTTTTGGAATGATATGTTTTAAACTTGATAAGGGCTTAATTTTTTAAATTAATTTTCAAACTGGGTCAGAATGCATGCTTAAAAAAAAATGTAAAAACAAAAACTGGGCTTTTATCACATCTTCTGATGCTAGACAAGGAAGAGTGCCATAGTTGATAATACAGTTTAGTGATGCAGGGTGTAATGTTGATACCAGCCTTCACGTCACCTAGTGTGAGCTTCTGTGATTCCAGTTAGTAGCTCATGGGAAGGTGTTTTGTGTGTCTTGGCATCTATAAGATAGATGCTTCACAATATTCATGTATCTGGTTGCAGCTTATAAGTAATTGAGATTCAACTGTACTTAAAAGGAAAAAGCAAAAATACCTTGAAAACACATCGAGTTCTGTACTGTGGCATCTACTGCCTGTCTTGGGCTCTATTTGCTTATACTTTTGTTCCTCGGTTCCCTGCTCTGCTTTATTTCTTAACTTTTCTCTTTATCTTTTTGAATTGTTTTTCCTCTTCCATTAAGAAAGCTTGATAGTTGAAAAATCGCCTCACAGATTTTTCTGGTTTGAGTATTGTGTACTAGGTAACAGAAGGGGGGATTTTGTTTTTTTTTCCAGGTCTGGCATTTCAGGTATTGGTTTTTCTCAGTTGTTTGCTGATGTTAAGAACAACTGATCCTGTGTTTCCTTATCTTTATCTAGTCTCCTTTATGGAATGCTGTGCTCTGAAATTTCTTATTAAAAACTAAAAGGAGCATATTTAATGCTAGTTCTCTTCTGTGAATCAAGATCAAAAGAGCATTTCCAGTCGATTGTGACTAAAATCCTAAACTTACCTCGCATGTTTGAACACTGTGCCCTTCCTGCTCAAGATCTTTTGAAATAGTTTTCTAGTCTTGACAAAACCTTTGACAAAAATATGGTCTCCAAGACATTACAGGCAAGTGAAAAAGAAATGTGCTTTTCTACTGTTCTATATTATCTGGGTTGCATGAGTTACTATGTTTAAAAACTAATCATTAACCATACACTTTCAGTTACTGAGATTGTTTACTGTGTCTAAGCTTTGAATTTGGGATCTGTCAGAACTTTTACTCAAACTCTTGTATGGCATAGAGTTCAGAAAATTAAGCAGGCACTTAAATTAGGCAAGTAAATCTGTTATTTGCTCTGTTTGGTTCAGGCTTAAGACTTTTTTTCATCCTTTACCTATTGTTCCTCACATGAGACAAAATGGAAAGATTTCAAGTCCAAAATTCCCAAGTGAATTACTTCCAGAGTGGGGAAAAAAAGAGATATATGGAGATTTGTGTGTTTATAGAAAAAGCATTTGTTTATTTGTTTAATTTTGTAGATAACTGTCTGTATTCACACAGTGTTACACATGTATAACCACAGGTATGTTGCTCTATGAAATGTTTTAAGATTCAGTAATGAAAGGAACTTGCCATTGGATATCTTGCAAGAAGCAGTCCAACGTACAGTCTGGATAGGAGAGACCAAGGAAACAGAACAGCCTTTAATGAGATTTTGATTACTCCTCCGAGTGTAGCTTGCAGGAATCCCTAAAACAGTCTGTTAAAATCCTGAAGACTTATGTTTTAGGAGTAAACTACTGTTCTACTTCTTCCTCAGTTTTCCTACAGACTTTTTTGATAGTAGATGTGACAGGATAGTCCTCAAAGGAAGAGGATACTACAGGCCATGAGAGAAAGTGTAGTCTGTGAGATCTTGAATTTGGAACTCAGCAGGGACTTTTTCTTTTGTCAGAATTAAGGGCACAAAGCTGGAGTTTCTCTGGCATCTGCTGGGAGCAGGCTTGCCTATATCTGCTTAATGTCCTACTTTTTACTTTCCAAATTTGGCAGGTATAAAATAGGGTGGATGCTGCTTGGTAGCAATGTGTGCCCTTAAAAACTGAGGGGGAACAAGTGAACCAAGTTGGGTGGTCATCCATGGAGTAAATTTAGAATAAAACAAAAGCAAAATAAATAAGGGGAGAGCATTAGATGGACTGTAAATGGAAAATGAATGGAGATTACACTGACAAGAAAAGTGAGAGCTCAGTTGTGGGAGGCCTGAAAGGTGAGAAATGAAGAATTCGTGTTTTATATAGAAAACAATAGTTAGCTGCGAAAAAAGGTTGGGAAGGGATGAATATGTTAGGAATAATGATAGATTACTTCATTAAGCTTCTCTGCTTGCTGAAGTTGAATTTTTTCAGTGTCTCCCACTCAATCAATCCTAAATATGGACTTGCAAATATACTACATCTAAAAGAAATTAGGGAGGAAGACAAATTAAACTTTTTTCTTTAAAAGTCACAGATGTTTCAAGAACTCTGGGATGTTTATCACTAAAATATTAAACTAGAATTTTGAATTCACAAAGGAGAAAGTTACTATAAAAGAGCTATTCCCACAGACTTTTAAAGTACATCTTATTTGCTATTTCATTTAAGGTCTCCAGATAGAGTACTGAGAAATACCATCTCTTCCTTGACTGTGTGATTGCACAGTATGGAGCAACTTTATTAAGGCTAGCTTTCTACAAAGCCACAAATTTGTTACAACTGTCCTTTTGGA